GAAGGCAAGACAAGAAATAGTGGATGGAAACTAATCCAGGAGAGAGAACCAGCCCGGAACTAAGGAGAAATTTCCTGGCAGTGAGAACAATTAACCAGTGGAACTACTTGCCTCCAGAAGTTGTGGGTGCTCCATCACGGGAGGCTTTCAAGAAGAGACTGGACAACCATTTGTCCGAAATGTTAAGAGGGTCTCCTGAGCTTGAGCAGGGAGGGGGTTGGACTAGAAGACCTCCAAGGTCCCTTCCGACTCTTATTCTCTTCCGTTATTCATTGCTGCTTCTCATTTTCTCTAGCAAGCTCAAACAATTTTTCCAAATCTGAGACAGAAGAAACCTTTGCCAAAAAAAAAAATATTGTCCAAGTCTTTTTTCCCTCGGTACTGGAATTAGCACGGCTTTTGCAGAGACTGCGTCCTGCTGCTTTAAGAAACAAACGTAGCTTTTCTCCTTCAGGACCAAAAAATGGTAACTCCCTTCCAACATCTGGGGATGTTTTCAGAAGACACAGCTGGTCAGAAGGGGGCAGAATGGACTCAGCCAGACCTTCAAGGTCGCTCCTCAAATAAGCCGTCCACAATGGGCAATTATTCTCTTTGGGTTTTTTTTTTTAATTTTTGACCTTCCTCGTCGGCAGGTGCTGTTTTCGTAATTCTGAAAAGCCAGCGTCCAAAATAAGTTTCTCCGGCATTTGGAACATGGCTGCGAAATGTTCTGTAATTCCCTAATCCCAGCCTGCCCGCTAAGGGAACACATGCACTGGGGTTTTTGTTTTAGAGAAAAGTGTTCCTTTTTCTTCCAAATCCTGTGCCTGATCCTTCTCAGCCCTTTTGGAGGGCGGGAACCAGCTCTAATCAAATCCCTAGAATCCTTTTTCTTCCAGGAAGACGCGAGTTTTGTGCTAGCAAACACATTTGCATGCACAGTAACTGTTCAAAGTTGCAACAGCACTGGAAAAGGTGACTTATTCACACTTTTTCACACTTAACAACCATTGCAGCATTGCAGCATCCCCGTGGTCACGTGATCAAAATTCAGCCGCTTAGCAGCTGACTCGCATTTATGATGGTTGCAGCGTCCCGGGATCACGTGATCCCCTTTTGCAACCTTCTGACAAGCAGAGTCAAATGGGGAAACGAGATTCTTTGAACAACTGTGTTGCTAACTTAACAATTGCAGTGAAAGAACTGTGGCAAGAAAGGTAAAAATGGGGCAAAACGTTAAACAACTGTCTCACTTAGCAGCGTAAATTTTGGGCTCCATTGTGGTCGTAAGTTGAGGACTACCTGTATTTATTGTTTTAATTTGTACGGCCACCCACTCATCGTGCAAGCCTGCGTTTCAACAGGGGATTAAAAGCCACTGGAAAAAATACAACAGAAAACAGGGGAGATGGCCGCCTACTTGACACCCTAAAATTTGGGGTTTTTTCTGCTTTCTGGAAGACCGTACAGTTTGGGCACTGAGCGATCACGCCCTGTAGAAAGAGCGCCAGTTGGTTGCCTTCCCTGTTCAAAATGTCTTTTCCTGCTCCTTACGGTTTTCAAGGTTTCAAGATAGCATTATTACAGACTCTGTGTGTCTGTGTTTATCCCTCTTCTCCTGCTGATTAGTTTCTGCTGATTAACAGTTAATTGCATGGATTTAGAGAAGGTTTAACTCCGTGCTTTTCAACCTTGAGCAGGGGGTTGGACTAGAAGACCTCCAAGGTCCCTTCCTGCCCTATCATCCTATGAATCTACTCCTTGGTAACTTTAAAATGCGTGGACTTCAGTTCCCAGAATTCCACAGCCATCTTAAAAATGGCCAAAGTAGAGTAGAATAGAGTAGAATAGAATAGAATAGAATAGAATAGAATAGAATAGAATAGTAAAATACAGAATAGAATAGAGAAGAGAGAATAGAATAGAATAATAAAATACAGAATAGAATAGAATAGAATAGAATATGAACAAGACAGATTGGAATCCATGAGCTTTTGATTGCTTCTGATTTTTAATTTTATAGCAAAAAGTCTGTTAAAGTTTTTCACTGGCTAGGGTTTTTTTTTTGGGGTTTTTTTTTTTCTTGTATGACATTTAAACGAGAAGTTTCATGCAGTTTCTTAAGTTGCAGATTTGACTTCTGTCAAACTCTGGGACATTTTATGAACAGCTTTTTTTTAAAACTCCCAGTATTTCGTGTCGCCTGGTGCCTGTATATGCAATCCACCGTGGAGTTAGCTCAAGTTACACATCCGTTGCGGTTTGCCGACTTGAAGTGAGCAGAGCTCTTCTATCTGTCTCCATTCTTCCTTGTATTCTGACTATATTGCATTACATCCACATGCTCTGAACGTTTGAAATGAAAGATAATAAATGCACAGATTTATTCCAAGAAAAGAGCAGCAGAAGAAAGAAAAAAAGGATGGCAAACCAAACAGAGACAGCCCCTCCTCCAATCAATTTGGTGGTTCAGGGCCACATTTTTTTTCTTAGTTTGCTTTCATTTTATTATTTATTCAACGTACGCGAGAACACGACAAAAGAGGCACGCTGGCTGAGGAATTCTGGGAGTTGAAGTCCACAAGTCATCAAGGGAGCCATAGTTCCCCCATGCTGGCTGAGGAATTCTGGGAGTTGAAGTCCACCAGTCATGAAGGAACCATAGTTCCCCCATGCTGGCTGAGGAATTCTGGGAGTTGAAGTCCACAAGTCATGAAGGGACCATAGTTCCCCCATGCTGGCTGAGGGATTCTGGGAGTTGAAGTCCACGAGTCATAAAAGGGCCAAGTTTGAAGGCCCCTGGACTAATTTAACAACTGCAGTGATTCATTTAACCACTGCGGCAAGAAAGGTGACAAAATGGGGCAAAGCTCCAGTGTTTTGCTTAGCAACATCAATTTGGGGGGGGTCTGTTGTGGTCGTAAGTCAAGGACTTCCTGTATTTGGAGGGAACCTTGGGAAAAGATGGCTAAGCCATCTGAGCTTTTGAAATTGAAACCTACCTATTTCTCTCTCTCCTTTCCCAAGCAATGCTTCTGAATTCTCACAAACTGGAATTGTGATGCAAGACTTGGCACGTCCTTTGCCACTTCCCCTTTTTGGGTTTTTGTTTTTTTGTTTTTTGTTCCATTTTCCTCTTGTTACCCTCTTGTTTTTCATTCTGCCTTTACCTGGGCTTCTGGTTGATCTGAATCTTTTCTCCAACCTGATGCCCTACGAGGGGGATTGGGGACCCTATCTCCCAAAGGCCGGTGCCAATCCACCACTGTGTCGGAGAACGAACGGCCCCCCCAGCGTAGATGCTCCCAGAATTGTTTTACTACAGGCTTGCCCTTCAACACACAGTTTCTTCTTCTTCTTCCCTTGCACAACCCCTGCAAGGCCGTAAATATCTTGATTGCACAACCCCCTTTTCTGCAGCAGAGTCATAAAAGAGACCCATGCAAATAAACATGGAAATTTACCCTGGTGTTGAAACCTCCCTGTGTGTTTGTTTTGCGGTATCACTTCGTCCCGTCCATGGGAAAAATAAAACAAATAATAGTTTAAAGATCTGCGCCAGCCCTGGCCATTTAGGTTTTCTTTCAGGACAGTTTAATGCACAAAGGGATTGCCTGAGTGCAATTGGGGGGGGGGGCTTTTGAGAGAAAAGAAATGGATAAACAGAGTTGGAAGGGACCTTGGAGGTCTTCTAGTCCAACCCCCTGATTGAGCAGATGACCCTATACCATTCCGGACAGAAAGCTGTCCAGTCTCTTCTTAAAAGCCTCCAGTGATGGAGCACCCATAACATCTGGAGGCAAGTTGTTCCAATGCCTGATTGTTCTCACCATTAAGACATTTCTGCTTAATTCCAGGTTGTTTCTCTCCTAAATTATTTTCCATCCGTTGTTTCTTGTCCTGCCTTCAGGTGCTTTGGAGAATGGCTTGACTCCCTCTTCTTTGGGGCAGCCCCTGAGATATTGGAGCAGTGCTTTACATTAGAAAAGCGGATGGATGGATGGATGGATGGATGGATGGATGGATGGATGGATGGATGGATGGATGGAGAGAGAGAGAGAGATGATAGATAGGTAGGTAGGTAGGTAGATGGTTGGTAGATAGATATAGATGTAATCAATAAATGATTGATGGAAAGAGAGATACGATAGACAGACATAATCTATAGATTAGATGGAGATAGGTAGGTAGGTAGGTAGGTAGGTAGGTAGATGGTTGGTAGAGAGATAGAGAGATAGAGATAGATAGATAGATGATAGATAGATAGATAGATAGATAGATAGATAGATAGATAGATAGATAGATAGATAGATAGATAGATAGATAGATAACAACGGTGGCAAGAAAAGTCATAAAGTGGGGCAAAGCTCACTTAACAAATGTCTCACTTAGCAGCCAGAAATCTGGGGCTCCATTGTGGTCCTAAGTCCAGGACTTGCCGTTATATATTTATAGCTATTGCGCAAAAACACAGAGTCTGTTGCAGCTTCAGGTCCAATGAAGACGCTCCGCTCTTCCCGTTGCGCAGAGCTTCATGGTCCACTCAAGTGTCCTTGATGCTTTGCAAGGAGCGGTGTGGCTAATCCTTCTGGTTCGTTTGCTGATGGAAACCATCCAGCCTCCGCAGCTCATGTCAACGTTTATACTTTCCCCAAAGCCATTAAGGTTGGCTTGGCAATCTTCTCTCCTCCACTCTGCAGCTGTTGACAGTGTGCTTCATCTTTTTATCGCCCTCCGTGCAGACAGCCTGGTGTTGGGTGGGATGAAGTCCAGGGCTGCTTCCTTGGCGTCCTCTGAGCCACAAGGTGGCAATATTAGCTGCTGAATGAATTCGTCCTTTGGATGCTGGCCCTTTTGGCAAAAGTCAGGAAGTGGTTCTGCTGAGGTTCTGGAGATGGTGGTCTTCAGAGAGCCACGTCGGGGATCTGCCTTCCAGAATCTATTAGGTTGAAACGCAGAGATTGTTTGTGATCTCTGGGGGTGTCCCCTTTGCTTAATGCCTCTGCCTCCCTTTCCAGGAAACCTGCAGGAAATGCCAGGGCCTCTGGAAGGAACACATGAACCTCACCTGTGAACAGCTGGCCGAAAAGGATGACATCAAATACAGGACGTCCATGTAAGTATCCTTAGCGCTGGGACGGGGAGAAGAAAACAAACCTCATCCCATCCAGATGTCAACATTTCCACAAATGTCGCTCTGATGTACTAGCATTTTGCTTCTTGGCCATTAAAGAACGAGGAGCCTGGTCCTGTAGCACAATGAACCAGTGGAACAACCTGCCCCCAGAAGCAGTGAATGCGCCAACACTGGAAGTTTTTAAGAAGAGACTGGACAGCCATTTGCCCAAAATGGTATAGGGTTTCCTGCCTGAGCAGGGAGTGGGACTAGACGACCTCCAAGGTCCCTTCCAATTTTATCATTATTGTTATTATTATTCTCTGAGGGACACAGTCTATTAAAAGGCACACACTTTGGCGCTTTTCCTGATATTTTTTTTTTTGTGCCCTTAGACTGACTTGGCTCTGTTCCTAACTTCTCCGTGACCTGTTGAAATTTGAATAAGGAGACTGGTACTTTTTTCTCTCAACGAATTGGCTTCTTCATTCAAAGTGCCCCTGGGGGGGGGGGCAGGGAGTGAGACAGGGAGGGAAGGAGGAACGAGAGGGAGGAGGAGGGAGAGGAAGCAAAGAAGGAAGGATGGAGAGGAGAGAGGAAGAAAGGAAGGAAAAAAAGGAGAGGGAGGGGAAGGAAGGAAGGAAGGAAGGAAGGAGAGAGGGAGAGGAAGGAAGGAAGGAGAGGGAGGGAGGGGAAGGAAGGAAAGGGAGGGGGAAGAAGGAAGGAAGGGGAGGGAGAGGAAGAAAGGAGAGAGGGAGAGGAAGGAAAGGGAGGGGAAGAAGGAAGGAAGGAAGGAAGGAAAAAGAGACGGAGGGGAAGGAAGAAAGGAAGGGAGAGGAAGGAAGGAAGGAAGGAAGCAGAGGAGAGGAAGGAAGACGGGAGGAGGAAGAGGGGAAGGAAGGGAGGAAGAAAGGAGAGAGGGAGGGCAAGGAAGGAAGGAGAGGAAAAGAAAGGAAGGACAGAGGGGAAGGAAGGAAGGAAGGAAGAACAGAGGAGAGCTGCAGCAGAAGTCAAAATCTCCTCCTTCTTAACTCCAAGCGTGGAAACCTTCCTGCCATTCTGAGCCAAGAGCGGGGGGGGGGGGGAGAGAGATACTCGAAGCCCCCTTCCACTAGCTGATCTATAAGGCACTAGGGCACATTCCCAAAGCAGCCGAGAGGAGAGCAAAAATCTCAGGCAGAGGAGAGAAGCCGAAGGAAAGCTGGTGCAATAGAACAAACCCGACATTCTGTTCATTTGGCCTTGATGCTCTTGAGAGTTATCGGGAGAAAGCGGGCCAAGACTTTTCCCTGCCTGATTACTGGGCTCAACAAGGGGTGCTAGGACAGGGGAGTAAAAACGGTGTCGATGAGGTGCCCGTTGTTTTTATGCCCGTCCTTTCTTCCCCGTTGCCTTGCCAAACAACTTTAGATTATTATATATATAAAAAAAGACACTTTTTTTTTTAAAAAAAGCTTCCATCGTGCTGCTGTTCTTCCGAAAGGTTATATTTATCGAGAGAGGGAGGGAATCTAATAATACACCCGCGTTTTTAGCTTTATTTGTCTGGAGGAGAGAGAGGAAGGAAGACCTCGGTGGGGTGTCCTTTTCACCGAGCCGATGTCTCGCGGCCCACCGCTGCGCCCAGCTGAAACTTAGACAATGAGACTTCCTGTTTGAGCCAAAGGAAGAGGAAGGCCAGCTGGAGCGCTCAGGTCCACCACCTTCCTGCTTTGCTCAGGATTTCCTGTTGGGAAAGACCAGATGGGAATAGCGCCGAGGAGAAGGGTGGACTTCGCGCGGAGTTTATTGTTTGCCCCGAATCACAAAAGGCGATGACCGAAAAAGGAACGCGTTGCTTGTTTAGGTACACCGAGCGCTTGCTTGTGCACCGGAGGCGAATTCCTTGGGCGTCCAATCGCGCTTGGCCCATTAAAGAGTTCCGTTCTATTCTAAATGGGATCTGGGGAAGGGCAGTTGGGCTACTGCCGAGACGAATTGAATTGAATTGAATTAAATTTATTGAATTTATATACCGCCCTATCTCCCTTACGGGACTCAGGGCGGTGAACAGGCGATAATAAAAACCACAATAAATATACGCAAGTTTCTGTTCTAAAATCAAATTAAATAACAGGCCTGCTCTAAAATACCCCATACAAAACCCCCACTGAAACATAATCAAACTACGCCAGGCCGGCCGCACGGAATAGATGGGCCTTCAGGGCTCGGCGAAAAAGGCGCAGGTCCGCAACTGTACGTAGGTCGGGGGGGTAGGTCATTCCAGAGGGCAGGAGCTGCCACAGAGAAGGCTCTCCCCCTGGGGGTCGCCAGCCGGCATTGTCTGGCCGACGGCACCCTAAGGAGGCCCT